CTACAGATGCTGCCAGACCTGCTGAGCTTTTCCAGCAACTTTGTTTTTGTTCTACACCTTGTTATCTCAGATTCTCCAGCATCTGCAGTTCCTACTATCTCTAAACCAGGAGATGTAATGTTTCTGCCCCACAGGCAGTGGTAAACAGCAGGAGGAACATAGTCAAGCAGGTAATAAAGGAAAAATGGTGAGAAATATCGAACAGTAAAAAATATCAGGAAGTGATTGGGGGGGCGGGGTGGCGTGGTGCTGTAGGAATGTTGCCTGGACTTGAAAACGGAATGAAATCATTCAAACATCACAAACCACAAGCTAATATTGTTTAAGAACCGACTCCATTGGTAAAGCATTATTAATACTGGATAGAATGTCACTGCATCTGTGGCAATTCCTTTAAAGCATTTTAAAGGAAAGGGGCAGCCCCATATCATGGCTGTTTTGTGGGGTGTCACGTCAAAAAGCCTTTTATCCTCCTGGTGTATAAAATAACGGGTGGAGGTCATGTGGTCAGATGTACTGAAGTTAGAATGTCACATGATTGTGCCAGCAGGAAGCCTCCAAACAGAGTCAGAAATCCTCAACATAAAGTAGTTCCTTCTAGGTGCAATGACAGATTGAGTTATAATAACCATCAAATCTCAGTTAGGTGAGTGAAGTCTTAGACCTAAGTCAAAGGAGGCTGCTATTAGAAGAATCATAGAATCCCTACAGAATGGAAGCAAGTCCATACCGACCCTCTGAAGAGCATCCCACCCAGACCCACCCTATCCCTGTAACCCTGCATTTACCCTGCCCAATCCACTTAACCTGCACATCTTTGGACTGTGGGAGAAAACCAGAGCACCCGGAGGAAACCCACGCAGGCATGGGGAGAATGTGCAAACTCCACATAGACGGTCGCCCGAGGCTGGAATCAATCCCGGATCCCTGGCGCTGTGAGGCAGCCGTGCTAACCACTGAGCCACCGTGCCGCCCCTTTTAGCAGTGAACGATCACAAACTTTATGTGTCAAGAAGATTGTTCCATCTGGAATTGATCTGTAATGCGCAAGTTAATTCTGTTCTTTTCTCGTACTGGTACAGGTTCATTTACTGAAGGATCAGTTGGCGGCTGAGGCAGCAGCTCGGATTGAGGCCCAGGCTCGAGTCCATCAGCTGTTGCTCCAGAACAAGGACCTACTCAAACACATCTCACTGCTCGTGAAACAAGTGCAGGAACTGGAGCTCAAACTTGCTGGCCACAGTTCAAGTAAGGGAATATTGGTAACTCTGTACAATAAACGTTCGACTTTGGCAGCCAGTATGGTATCATTTACAGCTGATTGACATGAGAAAATGATTAGGTCACGAAATGCAGCTCTTTAAGCGTTGTTGCCAAGTATTCGTGTCAGTTCTGTTTATTTTGCAGATCCCAAGTTAATAAATGATCCTTTGAGTCCTCTGAGGCTTCACAATGTTTTCAGCAACATGTGCACATCAGATGCATCACACATTTGTATTGCTGTGCGAACCTATGGAGTCATAAACATTTCTGAGCTGAGAGAAATATTTATGTTCTGATAAAGCTGGGTTATCGTTACTCAGAGATAGTAGGAACTGCAGATGCTAGAGAATCTGAGATAACAAGGTGTAGAGCTGGATGAACACAGCAGGCCAAGCAGCATCGTAGGAGCAGGAAGGCTGACGTTTCGGGCCTAGACCCTTCATCAGAAAATGATTGTTACTCTGCAGGATTACTGCCATCATTCTCCTAGGGTGCTGAGAAAATACAGTTGGACCTTTTGTAAGGGAGCATATTTATAATGATGAAATTGTAATACTTATACACTTAATAACTTAATGGGACCTTGATCTGATGGGCTGAGGATTGGTAGATGGAGTTTAGTTTAGATAAATGTGAGGTACTGCAGTTTGGAAAGCCAAATCAGGGCAGGACTTAGAATGCCCTTGACCATGTCTCCTGCATTTCCCGCAACTCATCCCTGACACCCCGTCCCCGCAATAACAACCAAAACAGAATGCCCCTCGTCCTCACGTACCACCCCACCAACCTCCAGATCCAACGCATCATCCTC